GCGTTGCACATCTGCAGTCAAGTCAAAGCTTCTACTTCTACACATAACACGTCACAGTATGGCCACCCTTTTCTAAAGATACTGTTCTGCTATATCAAAATGTACAGGGAAGGGTGGGGGGGGGGGGGGGGGGGGGGCTCTCGTGATCTAGAGGTACAGTGTTCGCCTTTCATTCTTTAGGTCCAGAGCTCGAAACCTTCACATAGAGTACAGGCAAATCTCTGTCGTTGCAAAGAGACATGGAGGTTTTATACTTTATGACGAGGAATCTCCTCGATCGAAAGAAAACTGGACGATAGATTGGAACGTGTAAACAGACAACACAGTTTGATAAAACGGACAGTTCTCTCATACGACGAATCTGATACAATTTATCGTTGCGTGTAACCGGGGCTTAAGGGTCAAGTGTCAAACATTGGTCCCATGTATAGCTAGCCAATGGAAAACAAGGATTTTCTGAAGTTTTTGTTTCGCGCGTTAAATACTCGATTAATCGATTAGTTTGGTTGAAACCGATAAGTAATCGATTGCCAAATTTGTCAATGTTGCGCAGGCCTCGATCTATTTAGGAATTGCTTTTTCTGTCCAAATATTGTAGCAACACACACGAGAAAAACACAATGGGTAGACGAATGTGGACACTGGTCACAAATCTTTGTTCTCAAAACGATAGATCTACTTCAAAACAAATTAGCGGGGACCACTTAGATCTAGTAGATCAACATCAGCTTGGATAAATTAATGATCAAGTATGTACATCGGTTTGAAGCGTGGTAGTCACTTAATCAAGCAATTAAAAAATAAACAAACAATGTATAGCTTACTTGCATTGTCTTTCAAATTTTCGTTAACATTAATTCTTTCACTACATACTAAACAATCAACTATAGAAAATGAAAGAAGATTAAACTTTAAAACAATATGTAGTAGAAAAATATGATATTAGACACTATAGTATAGCATTCTCGGTTAATTTTACTTTTCTGGAAATAATTTAAAGTTACGTACCCTGTGATTCTGTCATTTTTTACCCCCCCCCCCCCCCTTACAAAATCAAGAATACTTGAAATCGAAAAGATCTATGTGAATTTTGCAGAAACCTGACCAAATTAAGTATTACTTTGGTTGTCACTTAATCGAACAATACCCCCCCCCCCCCCCACCCCAATGTTTTGCTTACTTGCATTGTCTTTCGAATTTTAGTTAACATTGCTTCTATCACTACGTATAGAATCAACTATAGAAAATGAAAGAAGATTAAACCTTAAAACAATATGTAGTAGAAAAATATGATATTAGACACTATACAAGTATAGTACTCTTGACTAATTACTTTTCTGGAAATAATTTAAAGTTACGTCCCCTGTTATTCTGCTATTTTAACCTCCCCTTACAAAATCAAGGATACTTGAAATCAAATAGATCTATGTGAATTCTGCAAAAACCTGACCTGATAGACAAAAGTTAACTACATATTCCACATTTGGAATCCGCACATCAGTTCCCAAATAACCTGACAACTTTCGCTGCTAAAAACCATTTTTAAAATATTTGACCGATGTAATGCAAAGTGCTAACAGACAACTCATTTGTCTTTGGTTTGTTTTAGTTGCGAAGTTTGAAATCAGCGTCAAAGTAATCACTATTCCAACGACAACATGCCATATTAATGCAGTTGTTTTCAACATTTGAATCGTACGTTTTCTGGGGGTTTTTCTTCTTAAATTTACGTTATTATTGTTTTGTTTCGGGAGGGAGACATAATCTACGGATTGCACAACTTGTAAAAGTAAAGGGAAACGATCCAGAATATTTTCCCTTCTCATTCTGACTCCGAAGGGCATGAAAATGTTGTTTCCACGTGAGACTCTAGAATGGATCCTCTTGTCCAGTTGGCTGGTCATTTGAACTATGTTGGTCCCGATGTATTTCGCCAGCTGATATCAGTGTGGTATAAAACATTTATCACATTCGTTATGGTGGTAGACCATGATTACCCCCCCCCCCCCCCCCGGGGGGGGCAGTGCCACTGACTGAAGTGTCTTTAGGCCATTCCCAAAGGGGGGACATTTCTCGTTCAAGCACAGAAGAATTGTAAATAGGCTGATTCATGTCACGCTCATAACTTTGCCTGATCTAGAACAGGGAACTGCTGCTTTTTCTTTCTTAATCCTTACTATTGTCATTTTCCTCTACTTTTTTTGTATATTTGTCACTCTCTTGTGACTTGCTATTTCCGGGGTACCTTGATAGTCGAAGCAGACCTTGTGCTGTTGAAGCTAGAGAGGTGAGCAGAATAAGTCTGATTCCCTGTAAAGACTTCTCTGTTGACACCCACCCCTTGGCGCTCATATGATCTTATGCAGTTGCGAGCGCCGAAAAACCGTCTACTATAAAAAAAAACCCATGATTTTTTTCTACTTGTGATATTGTCATGTAATCACGAGTTTCCCATCAAAACTCATGTAATAAATTATTTTCAATCTAGCCTCAAGATTGAGGAAAAATATGGTTAAGTTGAGACAAATTGATACCAACTGCTGTGCAAATTAACCCGGTGAGCGAGAATGAAGATGAAAGTTCCGTGAACACTCCCGTTTTCTACGTGTGGTATTTCAAATAAAGTCATAAAGAAAAGGTTTCTTTAAATGCAGGCCTAGCCTCAACTTTTGTGGAAAAATGTGATTAAGTTAGGACAAATTGATACCAAATTCTGTGCAAAGTAGAGCTAACATTGATTCACTGTTAAAGAGATATTTGAGGATGGTATTCCGCCACACATTTTTGACCACACCATAATATAGCTATAACAGATGCGATGTTATTTGCCACTGTAACCCTTATATTCCTTGCTATATCTGAAACTTTGACTCACCACAATACCTACTGATTGCCTTTACTTCTCGAATGGACACATTACTGTAAACACTCAAATTGACAAGCACACTTTGTAGGGCTTTTGACGAGTCTCATGTGTCGCTAAAGTTGATGTCTTTCAGATAACCTCGCTCCGACTGACAGAGTGGGCCCCTACTGACACAAACAATAACAGAAACTTCAAGCAAAGAATGAGTTTGCAGTATATCATCCGACAGCACTTAAACTGACAGTTTTAAGTTGAATAACAAGTAGGCCTACGGCCCAGGAATTCTTGGGTCACTTCATACTTCTTATCTGCGGACGTGCTATTGAAAAAAATTGAAAGTCATGAGTGGGAGGTGCCTAATCACTTCATAGAATGCAATAGGCATAATTATATACGGTTTTGTGAGTGTCGTATGGGCTATATAAAGGTAGTCATTTGTTTGCAGTCTTCACGCTTGGCATTCTATCTGGCAAAATGGCATCAGCATGGTTGCTCCAGGCTCTATTCACAACGGTTTTGAGCAACGAAATTCTACAGGCAAGACAAGCGGGGACACACGACACGTTCCTTTTGGCGAACATCACTTCTGGTACACTGAGGGGAAAGGTTGACTCTGGACTTCCAGTCCCGGTGGCAATGTTCGCTGGCATTCCCTATGCTAGAGCTCCGACAGGTGAGAGACTCTCTTTAAATTACTTTCTCTCTTTTGACACTTCGGTTTCTTCATCTCCCCACCCCACCGAACCCCAACCTATACTCTCGTTCTTCCCCCTCCTCACCCTCCCTCACATCTCTCTCTCTCTCTCTCTCTCTCTCTCTCTCTCTCTCTCTCTCTCTCAATGCCTCTCTCTAAAATGGTTTGGGAACCTGTTACGTATTTCATCTGGCCTGCCAGCCTCGAGAGCCTACAACACTAAGCACTTAGGCTACAAAGGAAGAGGAAGGCCACGCAAAAGGGGGATCGAAGATGTCAAGGAAACCGTGGGAAATCATAATATCACAACTGAAAGAGACGCTTAACATCAACACAGGATGAAAAAGTAAAAAGTAAAGTAAAGTATCTTTACAAATCAGCTGCTCTGTCTCCAGTTGAAATATTTGGAAAACTTTGAAGTCCGATACTTTTAGAAGCATAAGTTACGAACTATCTACATCTTTTGAAGTAAATACTGGTGTTAGACCAGGTTGTTTATTATAACCTGTACTTTTTGGAATTGTGGTCGATTTTGTAATAATGTACAGAAAATACAGTGAAACAGGAAATGGATGGACAAATAGCACATAATATTTAGGAGATTTAGATTTTGCGGATGACATCTGCCTGTTAAACATCAAAGTACAAGAAGCGCAATGAAAAACAGACGAACTGACAAAAGCTGTAAGAAAAGTTGGCTTTATAATAAATGTATCTAAAACAGAAGTACTACGACTATCATCAGAAACCACACCCATCAATCTTTATGGAGAATCTCTTGCGGAAAGGAGTAAATTCAAATACCGTGGCAGTATTATATCCAAAACTGCAGACTGTCCTGATGTCGTCCACCAAAGACGCAGAAATACATGGATCGCTTTTGTGAAATTAAAAACTATATGGAAGTCAAAAATCATTTCATTGAAGAAGAAATTAAAAATATATAATAGCAATATTTTGGATGTATTGACGTATGGTTCAGAGATATGGAAAACAAACAAAACAATTCAACGAAAATTGAAAAGCTTCCTAACAAAATTAAATGTTTATAAAGAATTTTATTAATAAAAAGGAATTTATTGCAAATAATGAAGTGTTAGAAAGAGCTGGAATTGAAAATATCAACCCAACCATAAAAATGAGAAGGTGGAGATATCTAGGACATTTTCTTAGAAAGCTGAAGACAAGATTGTCCATCAGACATGGTATTGGAAACAAACTGGAAAATGAAAACGAGGTTGTGCCTCTAGAAGTTATAGAGACAAAATAAGGGATGAGGCAAGCACTCAGGGCCCGGATTTGCTGAAATTGGAGGACCTGTCCAGGGACAGACTAGCGTGGCGTCAACTGTTCTCCGCCTTATGTGCCTGACGATATAGGGAGAGAGTAAGTAAGTAAGTTATGATGTAGACGTTAATGTGATTTATTTTTCAATTTCAGGACCACTCCGCTTTAAAGCACCTGCTTCTCCTGACAAATGGACTGGTGTCAGAGACGCCCTGGTGTTTGGGGACGAGTGTCTGCAGCGAGTGGCCGCAAATGATGCATTCAGAGATCCAAACGCTCCTCACAGCGAGGACTGTCTCTACCTTAATGTGTACACGCCGACTAAGAGAACCAGCAGCGCTCCATTGCCCGTCATGGTGTTTATCCACGGAGGAGGGTACAATTCTGGGTCAGGCTCATCCTATGATGCTTCCTACGTCGCATCTAAAGGAGTTGTATTTGTGACCATTAACTACAGGCTTGATCTTTTCGGATTCCTGTCAACAGAAGATGACATTATGCCTGGAAACTATGGGATGTTGGATCAGGTCGCCGCTCTGAAGTGGGTGAAAAATAACATTGCGTCTTTTGGAGGTGACCCAAATCTGGTCACTATTGTTGGACAAAGTGCTGGGTCGGCTAGCGTCTCTCTCCTCACTCTGTCACCGCTTGCCAAAGGTCTGTTCCACAGGGCGATCATGGAAAGCGGTTCCGCACTTTCGCCTTGGGCAGTCGAATATCCAGGAAATCGAATGACCCATCGCATTGCTGCCCGATTGATAAGCAATGCCGTTAACTGCAATGACTTAAATAATTCATCTGCACTTTTGTCCTGCTTGCAAAAAGTAGATGCAAATACGTTGCTCAAGGCATCCCTTGGAATCACCAGAGCCGTACAAGCAACCCTCATCAATGTTCCTAGAGTAGAAACAACTTTTGGTTTTCTGCCAGACAAGCCAACTGCCTTGTTGTCTAGAGGACAATTCAGCCACGTAGATACTCTGAGGGGGTTTAATAGTGATGAATTTGGAGGAATAATTCCGGCTTTAGCTGGTCCACAACCAGTCACAAGAGAGGTGGCAAAACAGATTTGGAGAGGTCAGCTGGCACAGTTTACTGATATCGACCGGGAAAAGGTACTTAAATCGATGGAAGCAACATTTCTCACAGGTAAGACAACCACTGACGCCATACAGAGAGGAACACTGGACGGTGTCGATTATTTTGTTTTTGGGGCTCCAATGGTATCTGAATTGGAAAAAGTTGTTAGCAAAGCTCCAGAAAAGAAACATTACTTGTACCAGTTCAACTACAGACCAAGCTTCAGCAAAGCGCCACAATGGATGTCAGCTCTACACGGGCAAGAGATGATATTCTGGTTTGACGCACAAATAAAATTGATCACCGATAAAGGCAATGGGATACCTACTCTTAACGACCGTCTGGTATCTCTAGAAATAATGGGAAGGTGGACCAACTTTGCCAAGACAGGGAACCCTACGTCAACAATTCCTAATGCCCAAGCAACGTGGAACCAATACAGATCAGGAGCCCCGAACTACCTGCTCATCAATTCTGCTTCCGAGGCGAAACGGTTGTATTCCCCACGGGTAGCTACTGATTTTTATCGCAAAGTTCTCGATAGTCTTCAGGGACCCAGCTCAAACTCTATTACCCCCATTGTTGGGTAGAAAATTTTAGATTCTCAATATGAAATAAATACTTCTGTAGTTATAGTTTTTGCTTTTTGGTTGTTGTTTTTTCAGTGTAGCGAACTAATTGGCATCAGTTTTCTTCTGTTCTCCTCAGTCATATTAGGGCTGGCTTGACTCATCCAATCTATCTTTTGCTTGGCCAGACTCTGTGCCATTGCAGCTTCAGTAAAAGGTGTTATTGGCTTTCGAGGCTGGCTGACTAAGTGATATTCGTAATAGGCTGCAAACCATTTTATTTTCTATTAAACATAAAAAGAAATGCTAGGCAGACAGGACTCCGTGTCAACAGTTGCTCTTACATCTTTATTTCTCTACCTGTGTCTTCTTGTGAAGTTTAAGGTTTTTCAGGAACATTTCACCTCACAAGCAGTGACCTTACTATCGTGAGTTTTACTCAATGTCCTGGCCTGGCACAGGTGGCAAAAAGTTTATATTAATGTTAAAGTGATAAGCCTTATCTTCGTATTCATAGAGGCATCAGGCTTAGATACGAGGGATGCGAACTGATTGGTGACACTGTTAGCTTTTTAAAGTTCCTATTTCTATTTCATTACATCGGGATCCGTTTTCAGTGAAAAGCTGATATGATACTTAAACTCCTTTACCTGAATTGTGTGTGTGATATCGATAGGAATATTCCGGGAACTTTGTTCTTGGCCAATTTTCATTACCTTTGCTTTTGATGTGCTTATTTTCATGTCAAAATTTTAACAACTTCTGTTAAATTCGGGGGTGTGGCTTTGGAGGTTTTGTTGATTGTCTGAAAACAGTGGCTTGTTTAGTCTTTTTTGCGGGAGTTCGGTCTGCGTTTTTCATCCTTTTTTGTTCATATACATTTTTATGAAAAGGAGGGGAGATATAAGTCGTTCCTGCTGTACTCCCAATGGTACTTTGAATAGTTTTGTGTTGCTTTCATTTGTTATTATTAAACTTCTGCTGTCGGTGTACATAACTCAAATATTCTCCAACCATTGTTCTCTGGCGCCATATAGATCCAGTGGTTTCCACAGGCTTGACTATTTTACTCTATTGGACGCCTCCTCCTGATCTATGGGTACACATACTACACTACAAAACACACACACATACACACACACACATACATACACGCACACTTACACGCACACACATGTTAGAGGTTTGCAGTATTTGGGTAAATCTTCCTTTCTGCAGGAAGGCATACACTATAGTGCGTAAAAAAAAAACTCGTGGCACAACTCATTGTCAAATAATTCCCGGAATGTCGAATGCAAACTCTCCAGTTTTTGCATAATGACTTGCATCAATATATATTGGTAAACACCTGGTAACTGTTTTCTAGAAAATTTCTGAATAAATACTAATTTAAAAATCCCAGTAGGTGGTATCTAGAAATTCTGAAAGGTTTACACCTGAAAAAATAGGGCTTTTAAAAGCAAGTCTGTCATTTCTTTTCAAAGCAAGATATTATGCTTTTGAACGTATGTTCTGGGAATCATTAGTGCAAAAAAGTGTTCACTATTAAAATATTTCTTTTTGCGGCAAGTTTTGACATTATAAAGTGTCATTGACGAGCTGTGAGGTAAGAACGTATAGGCTTCCAAAGTGTGTGTGAAAAGCGGGAAGCGCTGGGAACAATCCCATTTTTCGAGTGACGGCCATGTATAGTATTCTATTTAGATTGATGAAGAAATGCTTTTTATACCATACACGGGGTTGTTTTAGCATTGCGCTACTGGTAAAATAAATCCTTATAGATCTACAGACTTCAACATAAGTTATGGACCACCTTGACAGACAAAAAAGAAAGCAAGGAATGTTTCAAAACTTTTTGCTCTGAAAGTGTTTTTGCGTTACCAATGCGTACTGCAATTAAGGGGACAAAACCACAACGTGCAGCACAGAAATCCTCGTGGGAATTGTATCCAAATTTGCAAGTGGTCCTTAACTTAATATATTATGTTGAAGTCTGTATTTCGGCCAGCCTAAGGGCGGACAATAAATGAATCATTGATGGTCAAGGTCAAGGGTTTGTCCGCACCAAAGCAGTAGCTGGGCAGTAGCTGAGCCGAGCTGGTAAGAGCGGTTCAAGGGTGAGTCACCAGATAGCTTTGTTTGGTGGACTATATTGAGCAAGTGCTCGAAAGCCAGGCCTTAGCTTTCTTTTTGGCAGGGTGTCATTAAAGTACACATTTCCGTGCAGAGCAAAGCATTTGCTCACAGTGCCATGGCCACCAGACACTTCTTGGAAAACCAAATCAAATCAACGTCACAGATGTCACCAGTAAATAACCCAGATATGAATCCGACAGGTATGTGAAGAATGAAGTACCATGAAACAGCAGCTGAAAAAAAGTGACCTAACTCCCAAGTAAGACCCTTTGTTTGCAACTTTCACTGACATTTACGATGAAATGACAAATAATTAAGTTCAAAATTTAATAGAGTCGATGTCTAAAGGGGTCGCGCACTACACAAAACGAGAGGCTCCTAATCAAAATAACAATGAGCAAATTTAATGTTAAGTCCAAGTTTTGTGTGGCTTTTGTGATTGCTCTGTTTTCCGTTTTGGTTGAAACTATTGCAATAAAATAATGTTTGTTGCAGAGACAAATTCACCCTTCATTGGATATACAATGTATGTTCATTTCTATCAATATAGATACTCCTCATACACGAGAAAGACAATTTTACGTTTCTCTGATTTCGCACAATTTTTTAAGGTCAATTTTGAATGAGCATATCTCGGGCATCTCTTAACATAGACGAATAATAATTATAAGTGTATCAGATGATGCAGCATTTATTTAAGCTTTCTTCTTCTTCTCGATCGCATCACACTTGAAGTCCGGTATCTGTCATAAATTGGGCCGTCCTGGTCAGTTCATCTGGCGGCCCGTATAGCTTTTCTTGTAGCGTCAGTGGGGTTGGCCACGTTTCCTGTCTCAGGGCCCTGTGTGTCTTGCAGTGCTGAAGGATGATTTAAGCTTTAATTTGGTAGGCTGCATGAGTGGAAAGTGCGAGGCTTTAACATGATGATTGGGTAATTACATTTTCAAGACAGTATCTTTTGGACGCCACTGTATATGAATACCCGACGCAGACAGATTCTTTCGCGGATTCACTTGCTCCGATTTCTTCTTCTTTTAACATTTTTTAAACTACACGATTGTTAAAAATGCCTCCTCATCGGATGAATCCATTTTGCAGCCTAGCTGGGTATGAGAGGATATCAGAACCTAGATTCTACGTGATAAGATGAAATGATGATGAGACGTGTAAATCTTTCTACGTTGCCCTTACAAAATTGAGTCAAATGATGGGCACTATAATGAACCGGGATTACGGCAGAGTGTGGTCCTACTACGTTCAGTTCATTAACATAAGATCTTTTTATCGAATAAAATAAAGCATTTGTTCTAAT